TTTAAGATAAAATACTGAAGAACTTAACCATTAAGTAGTCACATAGATACTCTCCAAACCATTTGTGATTACTTACAAATAAAATAGCATTGCCCTACTATTCTGGAATTTACAGTACGTTTCAACGGATTGATTACCTTATCTGCAAGAAAAGGAAATCTGTTGTACGCGTTAATGTGCTTACAATATGAAGCATTCGTGTCGGGGAGCTCCTAATCGCGTTCAAATTTCTCTTTGATAACACATAAAATTGATTTATTTGTGCCGCTTGTGAAGAATAAGTGTTTAGTGTCAACAATACTGAATGAAAATTAGTATTTTCATACACAAGCCAAAATACCTAATATTGTAGTTGTTACTATAAAAAAGATAATACATAATTACCACTTACATTATATGCCATTTGAAACAATTAAAATTAATTCATAAATTTTAAAAATTAACATTTATGAACGCAAATTGTATATCAAGAATAAATGGTGCAACGACAATACTTGCTGGTGATATTGTGGAATCGCGTGCATCTTGCGCTGAGATTGCCGGTCTGACCGTATTGCAGAAGTTGGCTACCCTGAGACCGGCCCACGATGGCGGAGAACCTAGCCATCATTCGGCAAGTAGAATCAGCACGACCTGCGGGCAGTTGAGAGATGTCCTTTGCAAAGAGCAGTAGTGTGTTATGTTTCAGTCGAGTCTAGCTAGAGTGAAGAGAGACTGTGTGTATGTGAAGAGTGTGTAGGGAAAAGGGCAAAGTTGTTGTACGTGTGTTGTTTTTCAAATCTTGCTTTAAATTGGCAAGTTGATTACTGAAACATTATTAATAGAGTCAGTATTTCTTTGTAAGAGAGGAGTGAGGGTTTTGCTGCAGCCCGCCCCACAATACTGCAAAGAAAACACTGTGGATACTAGGCATTCCTTTCGACTACTCCCTCACACATCCCCCACGACTACTAACGGTCGAAATGGTACGCGATTTCCAAAGGGTTAATAGGAAATTCTAACAAGATATGATTATTGAATTAATGTGTCTGAAATAGAAGGATTTTGAATATTTGGTTGTATCATTCATCATGTACTTGTATACTCTGCCTTTTTGAGAGGCAAGAAAAAATATTTTCTCTCCTTTACAGTAGTAGATATTGGCTAGAGTTCCGTGAACATACATTAGTTTAAAAATTATACCGGAGACCCACATGCTTGAAGTTTTTAACTCGATCAAATTGCGTGCAAATCATCCGCTAAATCGACTTGCTCCAGTTCCTCTACTTGATCGACTTGCGCGGAGATCGTCTATTTAATCGACTTCAGATCACCAGCCCGATCGATTTTTATCACTGTCGCTATGAAGCTTTTGAGAGCATTTGAAGCAGCGTCGACAATTTACGTCAGAGGTACCTTTGCTTCTTTTTATTTTACTATGGATTATACCCTAAACGTTTGCCGTTTTCGATTTCTATATTTTTCTGTCCTCCCGCTCACCTTTTTCCAATTCTTTTCTCTCCATTAATCTCGTTTTTAGGTCTTTCAGCTCTCCAAATCTACCTGTTCTTTCGGATATCCAATTTAAAATTAGTTTTTTCATCTCTCATTCAACTGCCACTAGACATGTCCGTAGCATTGTAGAGCTTTATTTTCTAGATTTCTGGTAATGGTTGTTTTAATAACTTGGTTCTGTCATGCTACAAATATTACACTTGTACATTGCTTATCTTGTCCAGCGTTTTTATGTGCAAAGATCATTTCACAAGGTCGAGCTTTGGTTTCCATATTGTATCTTTTCGACCAATACCATTGCCAAATTTCCCGCATGCCAGGATGGTTCGAACTCAAGCTCTTCTCTTTTCAAATATTTAAATGTTTTCTTGTTATAAATAATGTTCAGATTTTTTTATTGTCCTAGGCAATTTAACATAAAATCTATTGTGTTTAGTTTATGAGCAGGAACACTATAAGGCAAGATTCTACCTAGGCAAAATACTTTCCTAAGAACCATTATAGTGATAGAAATGCCAGTGAAAAATGTAAAAGAATGAATGTCAGTACCGCTAAACAAAACCCCTTTCAAATGTAAGAAATTTACTTATTTATTCAGACAGGCGTATGGTTCTTTCATCATTCGTTCCAACAATTTCTCCTGAGGAAACTCCCAAGAATAATTTTCTTTAAATGTATTTACTGATGTCCTTTGTCTATTAGAACTAACGGAACGAGTAATAAACTACCTCATTAAATTGTTTTTTTAATATGTAGTCACTGAATATAGTTACCCTAATAAAAATTCCCCTAATTATTCTATGAGTGCGCTATTTGCTGAATGTTATAATGTACAGCACAACATTTGATTTTCTGTACGATGTACGTTTTATTCTGTCAGTGATTGTTTTGCGAAATATCAGTAAATACAAACAATACATCTGTATGCATTCACGTAATACGATTCTCTACACGTGGGGACACAAACGTACATATTCACATCAATGTGAACAGAATAACATTACGGAGTTCCCGAGTAGTGTTCTCATCACCAGGACATTGTTCCAATATTAGTTGCTCCATGTTGTAAATGTAGATATCGTGAATATGTGAGAGACCAAAAAAACGTCTGAGGTTACAGTCGACATTTCTAAACATGAAACACGTATAATCTAATGATATCAGTCTCTGACATGTCAGTTTCATTCACTCAAATGCTGGTAAACATTAATTTGCTACTCCATTGATTACATTCCTTTTACGCTGCTCTAATAAATGAAAGATTATAATCTTACTTTAAATATTATTATACATGCAAGTTTTGAAATACCTAACTTTTCCTTAACACATATATTTTTCTTCGGAGTGACAGGGCATTATCAGTTGACTTTGTATGGTATATATTTGGAAATGTAGTGTTGAAGTATTTTACTGGAGTGTCTTGTAACTTGTTTGGCTATCAGCTTCCAATAATAATTGGTGTTTTTATACAATTTGGAACTTTTATTCTCTTGCGAAATTTTAATATTGTGATCACTTTCATAGAAAACACGTTAATTTTGATGGTACTCAAAGGCGACTAAATTTGTTCGTATTAACGTACTCCGTGCAAGATTAGACTAACACGTCTAGTGCATTTTCTTCATGATTACCGGCAAAGGTGGCTCAGGATATCAACTGATGTCAATGCAGTGCCTCTGACTGGGAGTTCCTAGGGATCGACTCCCGACGGCGGGAGGACTTTCGACACTAGCTTGGAAGCCAGGTCGAGTTCAGCCGCTGCCTGGAAGAGAATTCGAGCGTCCGCGGCTCGGATTGGCAGTTTTCCGTGGTTTATACAGGCAAATGCTGGAGTACTACCCTAACAAACGGGCCACACTCCACGCGTGATCTTTCCTTCCTCTTCTTTGTCCATCCCTCACCCCTTACTTACACTCATTTGCACTACACTATCATATTTGTTGAAAGATCATTCAGGAGCTTAATGTATAGCTTGTCCAAGCTGCGACGGTGCCCCGCTGGTGGGAGAAATCTAGTTGGGGGAAATGCAAGCAAGCCGACGGGAGGTCGGCGCCGGATCTCGCCAGCCAGGGACGATGACTGTCAGCTCCCCCGATGCATGCATCACACTTAAAAGAATAATGACCTTAGCAGTTGACGCGCCCGGAATCACTAATCAGGCAATCAGAAGATTCCACGGCAATCTCCCACCCATCGCAAAATCTA